TGGTTGTTTGAAAAAGAATGGACCCAAAGTTTCATATATTTGAATGCTTAGCCATCAGGGACTGGCACGACTTGAGAAGAATTAAAAGGATTAGGAGATGTGGTCTAATTGGAGGAAACATGTTACTCGGGGTGGGCTTTGAGGTTTCAAAAGCCCCCACACCAGGCCCAGCCTATCTGTCTGTCTAGCGATCAGGATGCAGCTCCCACTTACTGCTCCAAGCCATGCTCCCCACCATGATGATAAAGACTAACCTCTGAAATTGTAAGGAAACCATAAGCAGCACTCTTCCATGGCCTCTGAATCAGCTCCTACCTTCAGGTTACTGCCTCTTCTGAGTTCCTGTCCTGACTTCCTTCAACATGAACAGTGATTTGGAAGCATAAATCAAATAAACCCTTTCCTTCCCAAGTTGGTTTGGTCAGGGTATTTCATCACAGCAATAGTATCCCTAACACATACACAGAGAGTGGTATGTGTGTAATGCATAACCTGGAAGTTAATATTAGTAATTAAGAATGTTTTAACAAAAAACTTTGTATTTGCCTCAGCCAGAGTCACCAAAAAAAGAAGTACTATCTGGTAATGGTAAGCTATTGCCATTGAAACCATGATAAATACCTAGTGAATTTATTGTTACTCAATAAGTTCTGATATTATGAAGAGACAGAAACGAATTAATCTTTTTCTAACACAGTATATTCATGGCAGTGGTCTAATTTTTTACATGTTTTATAAAATGTTCTATGTACACTTGAGAAAAATAAAGCTTCTTCTGTTATTTGATGGGCTGTTTCATTTATAACTGCTCCTTTTTTATTGAGTTTGATGAATGATCTGTAGTGGGTAGCTGTTCCAGCTTTGATCTGGAAGGACCAACCCCACTGAGGCTTCCATAACTGTCATGCCTACAAGGCGGAGCGGAGAGAGGACCCTTGAAGACCCAGGATCTGAATGGGCTGGCTCTCTTGGTTCCTGGACCCTGGATGCTGGAGGCAGACCGAGCAGTTTTCCAGAGAACACTGCAGGACTGTGCTACACCTTTCCCTGACCCTGTAACCTATCTCTTCACTTGTAAGTTACCCCACAAAATAAACCTCCCTTTTAACTACGTGGAGTTGCCTTAATATTTTAACCAATAATGATCTATCTATTGTTGAAAGTGGAGTATTGAAGTCCTGTACTAATATGGTATTGCTTTCAATTTCATCCTTCAATTCTGTTAATATTTGCTTTACAAATTCATGTGCTCTGATGTGAATATGCATTTTTAATTGTTCCATCCTTTTACTCAATTGACCATTTTACCATTCTATGGCTAGAGTGCATCTAGTTCCTCTGAGCTTAACATGACCATCACCAACAATTAATTGTTGTAATCTATAGGAGAACTTGGCCTGCAAAAATAAACAGAAAATATAGCTCACAGCTAGGTCAGCATGCATTTATGGAAGGAAAAGGAAGGGTCACAAGACCCTCACCAGAAATTACTGGTGCCATTCCCTCCTGCCCCAACTACCTACAGTCATGAGGGTTACTAGGATTTAGAGGAGGCAGAATATGGACTGGAAGGTGGAATACTTCAGTAGTGTAGCTTTTCCTGAGTTATCCATGCCAAGGGTGGGACTTTTTGGTGATGAAGTTGCCTTTGTGACAATCATTCTCCTGCAAGTAATACTGATAAATACATTGATTCATCAAGCTGTACTTGAATAGAATCTTTTCTTTGATCTGTCATTGCCCTCTTTACCTGTGTGAATAGCTAGCTGTTTCTTTACTTTATCCAAGAAAAAGTTATACATCCATGATATTGCCTATTGTGATAGTTTTCCACTTAGTTTCTCTAATAATTAATGATCACCCAGATTTATTCCACTTGACATTTTCATGGAGTATCATTTCCCTTCATTTGCTTTCATATTATGTGTCTTTAAAGCTATAACTTAAGTTTTTGTAGGAAGTTGCTTATTGTATTTATTCAGCCACTGGGATTTTTTTTAATAGAGCATATAACTAATTTTCTTTTCAAGCAAATTATTTAGAGGTAAGGAATGGCACATATTAATTTTGTTTTCTGATTGATTTCCAGTCTGTTTCCATTGTTTTTCACTTGTTTTCTTCCTTGGTAATTTGATGATCCACTGGTAATGGTTATGTTTGATAACTTTATCTTTGTATATTTACTACAAGTAATCGTTGTGATTAGTTCAAAGCTGACAAAAAGACCTTATAGTAATAAGAATGTTGAAGCCGATGGCATCTTAACTAAGGTGGTGTGAAGGAAGAAGGGGGAATAATGAAAGAGGAGGGGGTTAAATAGGGTGGAGAATGAGAAGGTAAAGACTGTAGAGAGGGATAATTATCCTAGTCTGTCTCCACTGCTGTGTTAGAACACTGATCAAAAGCAACTAAGGTGAAAGAAAGTGTTTAATTGGCTTACACTTCCATGTCACAGCCCAGCATTGAGAGAAGCCAGGGTAGGAACCCAACCAGGACCTGCAGTCAGGAAAGCAGAGACCACAGAGGAGTGCTGTTTACTGGCTCACTCTCTTGCTCATACTCAGTC